AAGGAAGGAAGGAAGGAAGGAAGGAAGGAAGGAAGGAAGGAAGGAAGGAAGGAAGGAAGGAAGGAAGGTCGGTCAAGGGAAATGTTATATGTTATTGATTTTATCTGCCGTGTTATTTTATAATTGATAATTTTAATGTTTTCATGTTGTAAGTCACCCAGATATGAGATGGGTGATATGAGATGGGTGGCAAATAAATTTTATAATAAATAAATAAATAATCAAACAAACCAATCAACCAATCAATCAATCTGCTACCAATTTATTTTGTGAGAGTTTGATGGAAGCTAAAAGTGTCTTTGATAATTATATTTCTCATAGATGTTTCTCATTTCCAGGAGCAAAACAATGAACCTACTTCTACAACTGTACTCAATGTGATAAGACCAGACCTTTGTCTATTTAAATTTATCATTGGAGACGGAGAATGCAAACAAATCACATATTACATTTCAGTAAGATGCTCTTACAGAAGAGTGTGGTGTAGGGTTTCCTGCCTAAGCAGGGGGTTGGATTAGAAGACCTCCAAGGTCCCTTCTATTCTATTCTATTCTATTCTATTCTATTCTATTCTATTCTATTCTATTCTATTCTATTCTATTCTATTCTATTCTATTCTATTCTCTCACTGGGTTTCAGGCTATAATACTAAATGGTGGTTAGTAATTACAGATATATGTAATTAGATATATACTGTATTTATTTATCTATGAAATTAGAACCTCAAACATAAAGTAGCATCAACGTCTTATGGTCAGCCAGCTTCAGCATTCAATTCCTTAGAGCCTGGAACAATTTCTTTCCAAACATATATACACATATAACAAGTTCTACATTATAATAAAAAATTCAGGAAAAAAACAACCTCCAGTCCACTTCCAGACAAATGACTGGAGAAATAATGCTTCTCATTGTAATATTTACAAATAAATGTGCATAAAAGACTGCACTCTTATGCCAGTATCAGTGCTGAGAAAGAAAAAAAAATATTTGGAAGAAAAGAATGGGCTGAAGAAAATATATTTGATTTTTTCTTTCTTTCATTGCAGCTTATTTTGTTTTAGTTTCTCTTTTCTAATGCTAACGTACACACATGCTAATGTATGTTAACATGTCACCCAGAAAGTGTTATTACTATCAGTCTGGGAGAGTTTCAAATTCTAATTCTGGCTGATTGTTTGTTTTTTTTAATTGAACAAAGGTAGGAGGATGAAGATAGAAGAAGAAGAAGAAGAAGAAGAAGAAGAAGAAGAAGAAGAAGAAGGAAGAAGAAGAAGAAGAAGAAGAAGAAGAAGAAGAAGAAGAAGAAGAAGAAGAAGAAGAAGAGAAGAAGAGGAGGAGGAGGAGGAGAGGAGGAGGAGGAGGAGGAGGAGGAGGAGGAGGAGGAGGAGGAGGAGGAGGAAGGGGAAGAAGAAGAAGAAGAAGAAGAAGAAGAAGAAGAAGAAGAAGAAGAAGAAGAAGAAGAAGAAGAAGAAGAAGAAGAAGAAGAAGAAGAAGAAGAAGAAGAAGAAGAAGAAGAAGGAGGAGGAGGAGGAGGATATATTTGGTAAAGGAGCATATACTGTATGTCATCATTCCACAACATTGTGATTACATCACAGAGAAAGTCATCCTGGAGGGATACTATTACGTCAGGATCATTGAGAGTCAACGCAATACTTGCAAACTCAATGGGGTCGGCTTACAAAACCTTTCTTTTACGTTTGAAACATTGCTTTCCCTTATTACACTTTTAATAAGAGGCAGCCCCCAAGATCTCCTGGGATCGTTGATGTGCTCCTGAGCTCCCACAGACTTTTCTGTATGCTTTGGTTGGGAAGAGCAGAAGGGGGAAAGTTCCAGTGTTGTTTTTTTTTCCTACCAAGGCCAGGGCTTCTGAAAAATGATAGGAATTGTGGCTCCGAGCGGGCTTCACTGTTAATCAGTCCTTAATGCCTGGCTCTGGTTCATGTGATTTGATGCCTCTGAAAGACTCCCTCGGGCTGATCTGCATGTCTCGGCTCTGCAAATGGGAAGAAAAGAGTCCTTCCTTTCCACATGGTTGAATTCCTGTCAGGGTGGAAACCAAAGACTTATTGAGAGATATACAGGATTTGCCTAGAAGTGTTTTGGGTGTCAGAGGAACTGTGTCAACTCGTTGGATAGAAGCAAAATGGGCGATATCTGGGTATAAAACCAAGGCCAACATCAGATTCCATTGAAGTCCGCGGGAAGCTCTCGATGCCTTTAATTGGATTTAGATCTGGTTCTTGGCTCACTCCCCAATTACAGCTGGTCTTTTTCTCTCTCTCTCTCTTAATGAACCCAAATTCTTTCAGAGGCAACGCTAAAATGTGCAAGGTTTAGGAGGCAACCACAAACATCTTTTCAGAAAAAAAAAAGTTAAGGATTTCTTAACTAAGAAGAAAGAAGAAGAAAGAGGCTAAGAAAATAGCCTCTTTCCTCTTTAAACCAGCATTGTGCATAGATTGGTATGAAACAATGCACTTTCTAGTTTTCTCCGGAGTGACATCTGCACGGAAAGGAACACAACCGATATACAGTATTTTGAATGATATTCAAAGAAGAGAACACAGAGACCAATTTGTCTCACTAAATGAGGTGACCTATAGTATTCTCTCCAAACGCTGACTGTACATAGAAAGCTAGCTTGTAGGGAAGCTAGACTAGAGTTTCCTTTCCTGGTCTTTTGGTTTTTATAGGGCAGGAGAAGAAGCAACGGGTGGAAACTAATCAAGGAGAGAAGCAACTTAGAACTAAGGAGAAATTTCCTGACAGTGAGAACAATTAATCAGTGGAACAACTTGCCTCCAGAAGTTGTGAATGCTCCAACACTGGAAGTTTTTAAAGAAGAGATTGGATAACCATTTATCTGAAATGGTATAGGGTTTCCTGCCTAGGCAGGGGGTTGGACTAGAAGACCTCCAAGGTCCCTTCAAATTCTATTCTACAGATGTTTATTTTCTTCTGACATGTAGATCAGTGGTGGGTTTCAAAAAAAATTACTACCAGTTCTGTGGGTGTGGCTTGGTGAGCGTGGCATGGCTTGGTGGGCATGGCAGTGGAAAAATACTGTAAAATCTCCATTCCCTCCTCAAACCACGGGAAGGATACTGCAAAATCTCCATTCCCTCCTCAATCCAGGGGAAGGATATTGCAAAATCCCCATTTCCTCCTGATCAGCTGGGACTCAGGAGGCAGAGAATAGATGGGGGTGGGGCCAGTCAGAATTTTTACTACCGGTTCGCCAAACTACTCAAAATTTCCATTACCGGTTCTCCAGAAACCCACCTCTGATGTAGATGTTTATTATGACAATTGAAGCCCAATACATTTTTAAAAATCATTTTTAAACCCTGCTTTTTAGGAAGAAGAAGTTGTCTCTTCTAAATTTCCTTTCTCTAGCACTTAAATGCATCTCTCCTTGAAATCCCTTCTCAAAGACATATTTATTCATGAGAGATTAGCAATTGCAATTTATCATTAATGTTGTCACCTTACTAATAGTAACAACCATGAAGACTTCTATTCTCAGTAAAAGTCTATTTTAAAACACTTTTTTTTTTGTATTCTATTTGACCCCTGAGTATCTTTAACCTATTTCTAGGTTAAGTGAACAAATACAGGAATTATATAAAAATAAAAGGGGGGTTTATTTATTTATTTTTCCTTAATAGTTTGGAAGTTGAGTCATGGCAACTGGACTACTCTTCATTTTTGGTTTGAAAACTTTTGAAAAACATTGAAAAAGCTTATTGAATGAGAAGCGAAATGTCTTCAAAAGAAAAAAAAACAAGAAAGTCCAGTTGCCTCCTGAAAAAGCACTTTTGGGACAATCATGACCTGGATGACTGAGAATCTCTACAGACGTTTGGTTTGAAACTCTTCTGTCCTTATCCGAGTAGTTTCTCCAGTCTTTGATCTGCTTAATAGTTTTTAGAGGTTCACACTTCAAAAATATTAGATGTTTGAGGGTTCATATTGACTCCAGCATCGTTCTTCTCTTCATTAAGAAGTCAATAAGAATGCCATGCCTTTAAGAAATCCACCCACTCGAGTAATTATGTTTCTTTATTGGACATAACATTTCACTTATTTAAAGAATAATAATAATAATAAAACAATCCTCAAGCTGAAGCATAACTGAAACGGTCTGCATCCCCATAATATTCTTGGAATGCTTAACTATTATTTCTGTTATCTTTGTCTGGGATTAAGTTACTTGGAACTAAATTTAAACTCAACTGGAACTGTTTTGTACTTGCTATTTACTGCTAAATTTTAATCATATCCTTGTTTGGCTAGCAGTGACGGTTTCCTTGGATTTTTGGAAGGAAAATTGTAAAATTGAAGACTGGTTGGCCAGAGCATCTATCATGATAAAGGCAAGGAGATGTTAAACAATTGGCCTTAAAAATATGTTTGTAAACCTAATACTTTCCCTATGTTACTCACTGTACACTGTCAAAGGTGGATTAAGATTCAGTCCATGTCCGATATCTTGCTTTTCACTCTGCTTTTAAAGATTGCTGTCACTCATAGGGTTATGACAACTACATTATCCTAACCTTTCTCCAGAGACTTCAATATTCTCAATCTTTGCCAATTTCAACTGGCTATGCCAATTGGGCTGGATGGGGACTGTATAAAATGCCAGGGAAATCAGGAGGTTCAGGCAGCTCAAATGAGTATAAAGATTTATTGCAACTTTAAGCTCTCTAAAGAATCTGACCAACTAATGGTCAAAAGAAATGAGCGGGAGATAAGAAAGGCATTCAAGGTGGACTGGATTTAGATCTTGCGGGCCCACAGGGACTCATGACTTATGATGCATTTGACCCCTCCTTCAGGCTCAGCCTGGTCATCTCCTACAAGGAAATGGGAGAGATTCAGGGGAAGGGAAGGCAGACCGTCGACAATAATCGGAATATTACTTTCTTCTTGTTATTTCTTCCTCCCATCAATGAGTTAATAAGGCTAAAAACTCCCACAAGACAATCAGGAATTCAGAACATTTATTGCAAGAGCTGAATAACTGTAAATAACGTTGAACTGGCAAAGCAGTAACAAGGAAAACTGTTTAGATATTTATTCAGTCAAAGTCATCAAACACCCCTCACAAACGGACGTAAGTACCGTAATAAGCAATGCACCCCCTAGCCCATTATATGCTCTTATACTGTGGAGGAAAGAAAATAAGAACTGCTATATACAACACAACTTTAGTTAGTTTTAATATTTTTTTTTGTCATTGCTGTTCTTGGTAAAAAGAAATTAACCACTGATATTTTTCAACTTTTATTGTCTGAGTTTATTTGAAGACTAATGTTTAACTGTGGCACAAGATAATTTTTACTTTTATTTTCCCTCTAAGGACGATTTCTCCCCTATGTTGCATGCTATTTGTTTAATTTTTTTTGTCATGCCTTAAGAAAACAAAAAGCCTAAGATTGTTGGTTAGGATTTGTTAGACATGCAACTGAGATCTTATTACATTAGAGTCACTTTGTTGGTTCCTTTTCAAGTGACGGTGAAACTGGTTATTTGCCAGGCATTGACCAACGATGAGAACAAACAGTTAAACAGCAAGAATTAGAGACTAAACTCTTTCATTTTTCCCCCCAACTACCCTACCAGGAGAATGCTTGGTTACATTATGAAGGCACAACACATTAAATATTTTTGTGGCTATGATCTAAAAACACTTGTGTTACTACAACATCAAGGCAGATGATGATCAACACAATTGGTGCCATTTCAGCAATAGGAACTGTCCGAAGTAAAAACACATTTCACCCAAGTGTAAAGAAAGCAACTGCTAGAGATTGGTGCTGCATGGCACAATTACCTTGGAAATTTGACTGCCCAAGTCCCATGGAGATACATGGATCCTGGTATACCTTTCCTTAATTTCATTGGGACTCCCGCAGCCAACCGTCTTAATAGACTGTGTCCATAGCAAATAACCCTCCATTAATTTTGATCGACATCAGTGTGAGTATGCAGCCAACAACCTGCAACTTTGCTGTCAAAGTCAACCCATCCAGCTGCTATCACAATTGATGACCCCGTGTTGCTCCTCTTTGATTTCAAATCAAAGGAAAAAAATAATAATAATAATTGTGGCTAAAATCTCAAAGCCCTTGTTTCAAGTGTATTTATAGTCTAGAACTAGCAAATAGGATTTTCTTTTCTAACTAGAAAAAAAAAGTGAAATCAAAACGCCCACCCACCCATACCCTCATTTGCTCTGTTTTTGTTTTGTTTATTTTAACACAAGTGTTTTGAGTTCCTTGGAACATGGTGTGTCAGACGGATTATTTAACACGAAACACCATCACCAAAACAAACATTTTCTTTTCTTTTAAAGAAAAGGAAGGAATGAAAGAAAGTAGGGGACAAAAAAAGTAACCGTGAAACACAGAATTATGCTACAGTATTTTTAGGTGAACGTTATAAGTACACAAAAGTTATTAGTAATAATTTGTTCTATTTACAAGTACTTGAACACTGATTGACTTAACAAGTGTCCACTAACGTTGTTAATAGCACAGTAGGTTTAATGTTTGCAGTTTTAGTTGTTTTGTTTCAGTAAAGATGTCAAGTATAGCAGTCCCAGCACAGGTTCAATGGCGACAATAACACAATTTTCTAATTGGATATACTTTCTAAGAATTGCAATTCATTTCGCTCTCTTTCTTTCTCTCTCTTTCTCTCACTCTCTCACTCACTCACACAGACATACACACCATATTTTCTTTTTTCTCTCACTCTTCCAATATACTTTTCTACTGTTTACAGCAGCAGTCCAGGGTAAAAATAAAAAATATCTTTCTTTTAAAAAAAGCTAATTAACAGCCCCACCCCATTATCCCCAATAAATTGAAAAGAAAAAGAAAAAGAAAAACCAGGATATTTGCCAACTGGAGAGAATCTCTGTAAGAGTTTGATTATGTCTATGTAACAAAACCACACAACTAGTAGAAATGCTGTTGCATTGTAGTTCAATGGAGCTATCCCACAGTTATGCATATCTCAGCTATGTGACGCATAGTTCTAGAGGTCTACCCAGTACATAAAGCTCTGACACACACACACACAGTATTAGCAAGTCTAACTAGGCTAAAGTCCCTGCTTCAAAGAAACCATTCCTTATAGCTGGTTTTCCTTCGGACTCTCCATGGCTCCTGTTGCATGTTTATAGGACTTCAAGTTAGCCAAAGGAATGTCTGTCATGTGATTGGCAGGGTTGAAATGCCCCTCCCCAGAGCCAAATTGCTTTCGGTCACTGAACTGGTTTCTGTTGCTATCTTCTTTCCAGGTCCTGGTCAGCGTATGTCCATTCACCAGTTTTTCTTTCTTCACCCATTCCTTCTGAGGTGCAAAGGTGGAGAGTGGAGATTTGGGCTGGGGGTATGAGCCCAAGGTAGGGGGCATCCAACAGTTGTCTGAATGGCCCAGCACAAGACATTCTTGGGTGCACATTTCTGTAGCTTCGGCCAGTCCTCGGGGGCCAAGAGGTCCATCTACAAAGAGGTGTGGGTGAGGCAAGGGGAGAGAAGGAATGAGAGTAGGAAAAAGAAAAAAGAAAGAAAGAAGTTAGAATTTGGAACAATGTCACATTTAGACACACCAAGAGAATCACAAGCATGGCAATATATCATCACCATCATCATCATCATCATCATCATCATCATCATCTTTATTATTATTATTATTATTATTATTATTATTATTATTATTATTATTATTATTATTATTATTATTATTATTATTATTATTATTATTATTATTATTTATCCAAAAAGGTCATGGGAACATAAAGTGGAAAAAGTTATCGAAAATGAGAAGGTGAAGATCTTGTGGATAATAATAATAATAATAATAATAATAATAATAATAATAATAATAATCCACCGACAATCCAAACTGTCAACTTCGCAACAACAAAATTGAAACTGTTTCACATTTAATATGTGAATGCAGCAAAATCGCACAAACTGATTACAAAGCTAGACACAACCGAGTTGCTAAATTAATCCACTGGTCATTATGTAAAAAATACGACTTTCCTGTATCCAAAAAGTCATGGGAACATAAAGTGGAAAAAGTTATAGAAAATGAGAAGGTGAAGATCTTGTGGGACTTTCGAATACAGACAGATCGTCACTTGGAACACAACACGCCAGATATCACAGTTGTCGAAAACCAAAATGTACAATTTATTGACATCGCGGTACCAGGAGATGCCAGAGTCGAAGAAAAAGAACTGGAAAAAATCATGAAATATCGCGACCTGGCCATCGAAACTACGCGGCTATGGATGAAATATGTCACAGTGATACCCATTGTCACCAGGGCACCATGGTACCATATCCAAGAATTTTGGATACCATAATCCAAGAATTTTATAACATACATCAGCAAATTGCAGCTTCCTGCAATAACACTAGTGGAACTGCAAAAAACTGAGCTATTTGGAACATCGTACATCTTAAGAAGGTACTTGGTTGATACCTAGGACTCTGGCAGCAACCTGTATCAACCATTAGCACCAGTCAATGGTATCTGTGATGCATTTTTGAATGTTCAGTTGACTGAGTCTCATATTTAAATTAATAATAATAATAATAATAATAATAATAATAATAATAATAATAATAATAATAATAATAATAATAATTTGATTCAATGGTTCACATTCATTAAAAAAGAAAAGAAAAGAAAAGAGGACCAATATTCAATGTTTCCTGTTGTAAAAAGCCAAGTCTTCTCTCAAGCAGACATTATTCAGAAATCCTGGCTGGTTTCTGGATGAATGATAAGAAAAGAATTCCTGATGCTAAAAGCAATGCGCTAATGGAGCCAATTACCAAGGGAGATCGCGAACTCTACTGGTGATTATATACAAACAGAGCCTTCTTCCAGAGATGCATTAATATTTGCACCATATTTCTGTGTGTGTGTGTGTGTGTGTGTGTGTGTGTGTGTGTGTGTTTTGGACTTGATGGCCCAAATACAGGCTTTCCACTAGGAATGCTACAACGCCATGCAAAAGCCCTATCTTTGCATAAACCTGCTTTGCTTAAGACGTGCAAAGCAGAACGAACCATCTCCCAGACTGTTCATGCATTTTTCCTCTCAAATGGGCTGATTTATCTATTTACAGAAGTATACAATAATCAGTGGTGAAATTCAATTTTTTTTAACTACTGGTTCTGTGGGCGTGGCTTGGTGCCCCCGTGACAGGGGAAGGATACTGCAAAATCCCCATTCCCACCCCACTCCTGGGGGAAGGATATTGCAAAATCTCCATTCCCACCCCACTCTGGGGCCAGCCAGAGGTGGTATTTGCCAATTCTCCAAACTACTCAAAATTTCCGCTACCAGTTCTCCAGAACCTGTCAGAACCTGCTGAATTTCACCCCTGACAATAATCCTGATAGAGGAAGCAGTCCAGTCTGCAGAAGGGTTGACCTGGAATGCTTTCTCCAATCTGCAGAAAGAAAAAAAACCTCCCCAGGGGACTTTCTGGAATGTGATTGCATCAATTTACTGTATAGAAATTGTCAGAAGAATAATGTGTAAATATGCAGAATCAATTTGAGAAACATTGCACTGGTCAGCGCAGAAAGGCAGCAAGGAAAGGAAAACAAGGGAAGTTAATCATCTCTCCCCCGCCCCTCAGTTTCTCAAAATCAAAATTGCAGCCACTTTAGTGGGAACAGAATGCAAAATTCTGGAAATATTGAACAATATAATAATGAAAGATTATAATTTAACAAAAATGTGTGTATTCTTATTAGAATTATATAACTTGTCAAACGCAAATATGATGAATGTTATTTTATTTGTAGTAAAATGTGATTAGAAAGGGGATTATTTTTTTTAAACCCAACAGTGGCATAACTAAAAATTAGAAAGGGGATAAACAATTTAATATAAATCTGTGTATTACTACTAGAACTATATAAGTTTGTTAAACACGGCAAATACGATTATTAATATTTTACTTGTAGTAAATGGAGTGACATTTAGAATTTGTAGATTGGTATAAAAATATTATACTGAAATATAGAATAATCAAAGAATGAAAGATTATAATTCAACAAAATATGTGTACTATTATTAAAACTTTGTAAGATTGTCAACTGTATTAAATATGAAGAATATTGTTTTATTTGTACTAAAATGCAAGACACTCTGATACCGCACTGTTCCCACAATGATATGTTTGTAAATAAATAAATAAATAAACCTTTTAAAAAAATAATGAAAAATTCTTTGTACACTTTCAGAAACTCTAGTGGAAATATTAGCTGAGCCCAGAATTCGGATAATGAGTCTTGGCCTATTTTCACAGGCACAGACTTCATGCTCTTTCTCTGCATATTTCTCAATGGAGTGAAACTGCAGATGAGTTATTGATTTAACCAAGGAAGATATGATGGGGAAGTGAAATGCATTCATCTCGAGTGACTTAGCCTTCCATTTTCCACCCCTACCAACAATTTCTCATGAGATTCTGAATATATGGCTGCTTTAAATGGAAATGATTACCACAACTCGCCCTCCACCCAAAAAAAAATTCTTAACTTTCCTATTTTCTCTGAAGTAAGTTGCTTTCTTTATAAAAAGGGACGCGGTGGCCTAGAAGTGAAGATGCTCGCTTCCCATTCGGAAGGTTGAGAGTTCAGTCCTGGGCAGTGACAGACGTTTCTCAATCAGGATGCAAAGAGAAAATATCTGCTGTGAACTCCATGTAGGCATCAGGTAAGGCATTATCTTATCTACGGATAACCGATTGCTCTTTGTTTAAGGAGAAGTTGCTTGGAAGGAAATTACTGATTTCTTGGAAGCTCCCAAATTAACAAATCACCAGGAGGTCTGGATTTAATGCAAATAATAATAGAGCCTGAACATCTGGCTGACTGTGCTACAAATGATGATGATAATAATAATAAAAGCAAAACCAAGGTAACATTTGCAAAACTTCACACTATCCAATTAACCCTGCCCCCCATCCCCCACCGCCATTTTTCATCTTTAAAACATAGGGTTCACTATTTGCGGACAAATACAATAATGTTTAGGGTTGCACTTGTGCATTTTTAAAAAATATATTTTTTAATCCCACCTTTATATTTTTTTTAATAAATAACTCAAGGTGTCGAACATATCTAATTATTATTTTTCCTCCTGTTTTCCAATGTTTGTCATGTAAACAAACCATAGCAAATTAAAAGGAGAGAAAAAAAAAAACTTCATTGTCAAGCTAATGAGTTTATGTATCCCAAGAGTCTGTACTCTGTCTACTGTTGACCTCACCCCATTCCTAAGAGGTCTGTAAAGGGCGTGCATAAGTGCACCAGCGTGCCTACCGTCCCTGTCCTAATATTCCTTTTTACTTACTCTTTTCATGCATTCAAATTATGTTTATACTTTTACCTGTTATCTTATATATTCTTGACAAATAAACTTATAAACTTATTTTATTCCCTGCTCAACAAGCACATGAACAGTCATTCAACCCAGGGGTGAAATCCAGCAGATTCTAACAGGTTCTGGAGAACCGGTAGCGGTAATTTTGAGTAGTTCAGAGAACCGGCAAATACCACCTCTAGCTGGCCCCAGAATGGGGTAGGAATGGAGATTTTGCAATATCCTTCCCCTGCCATGCCCACCAAGCCACGCCCACAGAACCGGTAGGGAAAAATTTTGGATTTCACCCCTGATTCAATCTCTCCTTGAAGAGCCACACATGGAATTAGGACTGCCATACCTGAGCAGCAAAAGTCCAATTAATCAGAAGACGGAAGCCAATGGTTAGAGTCTTGTCTCTTTGTTATCAATGAGATAACAGACGGCTTCTATCTACCATAGAAGCTAGATTTGAATAAGTTTACCCAGGGAAGCAGGGGTGGGATTCTGCCTGTTCAGATTGGTTTGGACAAACCAGATGCTAATTTTACATCTGGTTCGCCGAACCGATAATTGCAAGGACTGGCTGGCTTGCCCACACCACCCCGACCCTCCCAGGAGTCTCCATGAAGCCCGTTTTGGATGCCAGGTAAGTGCAGTGTCTGCGCGGAGGCTCTAGGAGGGCGTAAAACGGGTCTCCCAGAAGTTACGGAAGTCTGGAAAAAGGCTGGTTTCCAGCCTCCGGAAGGCCTCTGGAGCCCAGAGGAGGCTGCTTTTGCCCTCCTGGGGGCTTGAGGAAGGCCTCTGGAGCCTGGGGAGGGCAAAAATGCCCCCCTGCCATTGTGCAGGAGGCCGAGTAGGCCACTCCCACCATGGTCATGCCCACCCAGCAACCGGGCAGAGAACCGGTTGCTAAAATGTTTGAATCCCACCCCTGCAGGGAAGTAGCATCATCTGGCGCTCTATGCTTATACATTATCTACTTTGCCATGAAGCTGCAGCTTGTATTTAAACTCCCAGAATTTTACACAATTTAAGTCACTTCTGCCATGTGAAGTCACTGAAGCCCGATCCTCTCTACATCTACTAAAAGGGCAAAAGAACC